CCTGCTAGTCGGCAGGGGGATTTCTCTTCCCCGTGGGGTTGGGGGGGGGGGGGGGAACCATAACACTTGCACAAGTGTCCTTGATCTTGTTTCATTTTTTTCCTGTGTTTTTGCCTTCCTGGGCTTGTGCCATGGAGACTGTCCTTAGGGCTGCTTTTTCCCTGCTGGCTTAAGACTGTGCTCTCCAAAGCAAATTGCGATTTCCAAAAAATCTTTGCTATTGAAAGCATTTGAGTTGGTTTTTTGTAGTGCTTGAGATGAGCTCCTCTAATGAAATATTCAGGGTTTTCTAGGCCATTATCTTAAATGTTTCTTCTTTCTCTTCATGGACAAACTTTTTATTCCTTTGATCAGCTAGGAAGCTTATAGGCTAGATATAACTTCCTATTAAAGGAATTCTATCAAGATTATTTAATCTCATCTCTAAATTCAATCTTGTGTTACCCTTTTTGATGCTCGGTTAAAAAGTAGCAACATGAGAAGACTTTCATTTCATTAAATCCTTTTTTCTGCTTTCAGTGTTGCTATGTTTTCTACCTGCCTATTACAAACTGGCATTGAGCAATATTTTAGGTATTTTTTTACCTACTGGCATGTAACTAGCATTTTGTTGGCACCTATATCAGCATCTTTCTGGAGTTTTTAAAGAGAACTAACTGCATTAAACAGTGGGGGTTTTTTGGTAGAAATTTAATTTTGTAATAACTAAAAATTAGCTCTTTGATAATGTGAGCACTGTTATTCTGGGGACTATGATGGTAAGAATGATGAAGTAGTTCTCCTGTATTACTCGGAATTTGAGTGATTTGTCTGGAAACTGAGGAGCCAAGAAACTAGTAAAAGTTTGTTTAAATAGTATGAAGATTGGTATCCATTTAGGAGCATTGAAAGGCTGAGTTAAAGCACAGAAGTGGGGGGAAAAACGGTGTGCTCGCTGCTGGTGTCAAAACCAGATTGAAATTGAATTTGGTTTGTTTATTTTCTCAAATTGAGCAAGATAATGAAGTGAACATTATAACTGAATCTTGCATTATAAAGATTTAGTGGATGTTAAATGTAAAGTTAAGTTTGTACTGTATCAATTGTCCAGTTCAATTTAAACACAAGTAAAACGCCCCTTTTTTCTTGGTAACAGCACTGTTTTCTTCCTGACAGACATTGTATCATGTGAAAACTGAAATTTTCCCACCACTGGGGGCAGAGTATTGTAAAACAGGCTCACTCTGCTCTTTAGAGGTGTCAATCACCCGACTTGTTGACCTCTCAGAGGTTGACAGAGATGAAGCATTAACAGAATCAGATGGATATTGCACAACAAAACTTATGTATGAAGGTAAGGATGTTTTTCTTAAGCATGTTGACAAAATTCCCCAGTTTTGTCTTGATAATGACATCTGCCAGACTTTGTGGCATATATTTTTGTATTGTGAGTATGGCTGCTCAGTAAAGCAGTTTTCATTTTACTAGACTGAGAATACTTTTATTTTTTCCTCATTAATCTGTCTTCAAGTGGAATATAAATGCTGTTCAGACTGGATGGACACTTGCTTGAGGCCCCAACTCTGTTCCCTTTTGTGTAGGGCTGTTTTCTTACCTTGCACAGCTCTTCACACATAGAAGCTGTTGGGCTTTTAGATGTTGCTGAAATACTGATTTTAAAAGTGCTCTAAAACTATACTGAGGGCTCTTCATTTTTCAGAAAAGATCTTTATAGTGTTTGCTCTTTATTCTTGCAGTTGTTGACAACAGTAGTAATTGGGCAGTCTGTGGAAAAAGTTCTGGAGTGATATCTATGCCTGTAGCAGCTCGAGCAACTCACAAAGTCCACATGGAAGTGATGCCACTGTTTGCTGGATATCTACCTTTTCCTGATGTCAGATTGTTTAAATACCTCCCTCACCATTCTGCTCACTCCATGCAACTTGATGCTGGTAAAGCTATCTTGACTACATGGCTACTTACAGAAATGATTCTGCTTCTCCTGTGTTCTTCACTCACAGTTCTGATTTGAAACTTATAAAATGCTGCTCTAATGGGAACTTTGAATTCGGGTTGCAGCCTTAATCTGTGAGGAGGAATAATAAATGCATTGTTTTCTTACATTTTCTTTAAAGATTATTGTGCAAATTAGTTGTCACTGGATTTATAATCAAGTGAAAACTATTTGATAACCCTCTAATCCTGAGTTTCATTGTCTGTAAACTGCACATCTACTGTGTCTGCCTTAGCTTTGAAATTTTTTCCCCCAGTTTTTGAGAGGATTGAGTAGGAAATAAAAGAACTGCTGAAAATTTGTGGCATATAAACCAGATCAGATGTAGAGTTTAAATCACCACAGCCACCTAGAGTATTTATCTGTACTGTTGAGTAGTCCCCAGCACTGTAGCGAGAATTCACTCGTGCAAGCAACTTACCGTTTGTCAGCAGAGCTCCAAGAACTGCCAGTGCGCACCCTTCTAGCCTGTGACAAATGTGAGGTAATGCTACTTAAGTTTTCCTTAGAAACCAATATAATTCACTCTGCTACATCTGCTGCTGGCCAAAAATGTGCACAGACTGTGATCTCAGCAGAGATGATCAGTAACTGTTAACATATGTGGTAAGTTTACTGTGTGTCTGAGCTCTGAAGTAATTTTTAAGTTGTTTAATCACTCCATAGAATGCAACTGTGGGTTTTTGTTTTAAACAGATAGCTGGATTGAAAATGATAACCTGTCTGTGGACAAGAATGTGGATGATCAAGCTGACAGCAGCAGCATAAGGAGCAGAGGTAGCTTGCATTCAGCAGCTAGTGGGGAACACAAAGGTTTGCCAATGCCCCGCCTGCAATCCTTTTCATCTGGTCAGGTCTTCAACTGCAGCACGGCTATGCAAATACTTGTCATTCCCAGCAAGGATGACCATGTTCTGGAAGTCAATATCACGTGACAACTCGGTATGAAAACGAGGAAAACAAAAACCGTTAGAAACTGGATATGAAAGCACTTTAAAGGATTATGACCTGATTTGTCTTTGTTGTAACATTCTAACTCTAAGGAGACCTATGGCACTCAACATGTACTGGCCATGGAAGCACCAGACAATTGTATCAATTTAAATGTACAGTGAAGCTTGTGTCAGCTAGTTTATATTGCCACTTTAGTATGTTTTGTGTAAGCTATTGGGTTTTCTCCCTTCAGTCACATCCTGCATCACAACACAGGGCAACAAAAACAAAAAAATCCAAATATTTGGACCACTTTATTTTTGTCTGGGCGCTGAGAGATTTGCTTCATGCTTCCTACGTATTTTAGAATTTAGAGTTGGATGATTTAATTATCCAAATCTTGGATTCTTATGTAATAATTTACAGGCTTTTCCACACATGTGCCAGAAACACAACAAAGCATACAACAGCACATTCACTGCTGTAATAGTTGCTTTTCTGTTGTTTTTGGTTTTGGTTTGGTTTTTTTTTTTTTTGGTTAATTGGTTGGGGTTTTTTTTATCATCGTTAATTCCTGCCATTGCAATTTTATATTAAACTTCCATCGTTTGCATACTTAGATGCATGGAAGAGCTACTGCTATAAATAATCTTAACTGAACAAAATTCCTTAATTTTTTTGAGGCTTTCTCCTTCACAGAGTAGACACTGTGATGTCTCATATTATATGATTTTTTGGGGGTGGGGGTTGGGTCATCCTCTTACATAGTTCTTACCAAAGAAAGATATTGATAGAATTTAATAATAAATTATTTGGCTTATTGAGTTCCCAGATTAATTTCTTTTATTACCATTTCTAAGTGGCTTGGTTTGTGCCCCAATTTTTAAATTGGGGCAAAAATTTCAGTATGATGTGATACTTGAACAGTCAACCTTTCATCGTTAACGGCTTAGTGTAATTATTACTGATTAGAGGCCAGACTTCCGCATTCATGATGGAAGAAAGAGGTTGGTTTGATACAGGAAAGCTTGCAGATGTAGAATAATTGTGAAGCAAAGTTAAAACATGTAACTTAAAGAATTTCATTATTTATATCTGAAATGTAAATACAAAAAATGTAAGGAAAAAAAAGAAAAAAAAAAGTGTAATTTTTGTGAATGTTGCAAATCCACCTGTGACTGGAAAAATTACAACTCCTTCTGATGTCCTGCTTCTGATACTGAAACTTGTGCATTTAATGTGAGAATGACCTTTTCTACTTGCAGATCTATAATGGTGCGTTGTCAGCAGACTCCACAGAGGAAAACTGTCCCATATCAAATACTTGTCAGTAAAGCTAAAGTGAGGAACTGCTCATTAGACAAGTTCATTGTTGTTATTTATTTTTTTTCTAAACTCAGGTTCTGCTAAATTATAAAGGAGAAGGAAAAAACAAACCCTCTTTCCAAAAAGAATTGTAATGAAGTTGAAAAATGAATAGGCACCCTGCACTGGTCTAAACATTTTTTTTGTTATTATTTTTTATTTTAAAAAACCAATATGTTTAAATAGATGTATGAAGTAGACCTGCTAGCTGAAAATGTTCTTGTTATGCATCTTCTTTCTGTGAAGGAATGCCCTTTCTCTGTGGAAATCATACCATTTTATTCTGGATAAAACTCAAAGCATCATTTAGTGTGAATGACTGCTGGGACTCTTTGACTGGAAAAGGTAACAAAAGTTAGTGACTTTGACAGGGCAGGTATTATAATTAATTCCATTTTCATGGTTTGCTATTAAAATCATTTTTCACTGTTCTGTAATATACTGTTAGATTAAACACATTGTACTAAGATTGTTTAATGAAATTGTAAGCGTTACAGTTCTAAATATACATGTTTTAAAAAGAAATCCACCTTCTCTGCTGCCGTGAATTCTCCAGTTTTCCTCTTGTTTAAAGGAGCGATTGTTTCATCTATTTCCGCCAAAGCTACTTTAACGGGAAAATATTTCATAAACCTCAGTAAGGGGACGCATTTAGCGCAGCGGTGTGCAGCCTGCTCTCGGCGCCGCCGCTCTCCGGGGAAGAGCTGCCTCCCGCCGCCGGGGTCGCCATTTGTTTGTGCTCCGGCTGGGCCGCCGGGAGGCGGCAAGGAGCCACCCTGACGAGAGAGGAGCGCGGCGGCAGAGGCCAGGTGACGGCCTGTTCTCCCGGCGGAGAAGGGGAGACCAGTCACACCGCACGGCCCGGCCCGCCGCCCCCGCAGCCG